GTGGTGTACCTAATAAAGTGGCCGGTGAGTGTATATATATATATATATATATGTGTTCTCTCAGCAAGAAGGTTGCCAGATCAAATCCCTGTGGAGAACCTCTCTGGGTGGAGGTTGCGTGTTCTGTCTGTGCATGTGTGGGTTTTCTCTGGGTACTCCAGCTTCCTCCCACAGACCAAAAACATGACTGTTAGGTTAAATGGTAACTAAGTTTTTTCTCTATGTGTCCTTGTGATGGACTTGTGACCTACCCAGGGTGTACCCCACCCCTCGCACAGTGACTGCTGGATATGGGCACCACTGACCCCCGTGACCCTGAAAGGAAGAAGTGGGGATGGATGAACTCCACCAAATTCTAATGATCCAGCTGTTTTCTGTACGCTGGAACTCAGCTAACCGTTAGGCTCATGTTTGCTGTGTTGCACTTTAAAACTCTTGTTTTTACTTGTTGTGCATTAAACATATTTGCCAATCAGTCTAAATGAAATAGTTTGTAATGTGCAGGAGTCTGATTAGAAGCCCTTTTTTATTTTATCCTGTTCCTTTGCTTAATGCTTCCCTCCCAGCATGCACCTCTGCATTCTCTATAGGAGCCGCTCGACTAAAACATATGTTTATGCACACCCAAGCTGTTTTACAGTTTTTACCACTTAAAAGTCTGCTTCAGGTTTACAAGGAACACTGATCTGAGTTGACAGGCAGGACATGCTAAATTTGTCAGCAGAGCACGAGGCCAGCTGACGAGGGAGAAACGTGTTAGTCACCCAGTCCATACACAGCTTTAGGTTCAACAAAACAAAAACACTCATTTTTGGACCTTTTGCAAAGATGTTGTTTAGTTTAGTTTTAGTTTAGGTTGAATGTGCTTACCTTATAGTTGAGGTAAAAAATAGGCTGGTAAGACATTTATTTTTTTCTCTTTCCGTCAGCAATGGGGAACACCACAGCAGACGTTATTACAGCTCTTGGCATGAGCGAATAATTTATACCAGATCTGATAAATTGATGTAAGCTGCAGATCTTATTTTAATACTGACAGAGTGCATTCTTAATTCAGTCACCTGGCAAAGCAGCATGGCTCTCACTGCGGTGACGAGTTAGATTTGTGCGTTCTCTCTCCTCAGACTCCCAAACCTGTCTTTGCCACAGGTCAGGCCTTTGTCTGCAGTAACGAGGGCATTGCTCTGGTTTGTCTTGTAGAAAAAAGGGCTGCGATGAAAAGCAAAGCTCTATTTATTGGTTCATCTGTGGTGATGAGATGTGGATCAGTATATCCTCTTTGTCTTGGGAACGTCTTCAGATCTCACAGGTGGCGCTGGAGTGTCACTTCAGAAAAACAGGATGCCTTGATTTGCTTACTGGACCTGTTATCTCCGCTTCCCACCCTTGGATACACAGAAGCAAATGCATGGATGAATAGTTTCCTAATATATGTACTGTGAAAAAACTGAATGATGAATAAAACCTGATAAAAGGTCTAAATGTTGCAGTCAGGGGTAGAAGCTTTATTTACTTATGTTGTGTTTTTTTTCTGTTTTTTTTAACTCACCCTGGAATCTCAACTTGCTTGCATAAATGATATATTTTATCTACAACTTTCTTTCATTCAAATCTGGTTATTGAGTAATGCTAACTCTCTGGTGTTACCTGTTTGGATTTGCTTTCCCAGTATGAATTCAAAGCCAAGAACATCAAGAAGAAGAAGGTCAGCATCGTGGTGTCTGTTGAAGGAGTCAAGGTGTCACTAAGGAAAAAGCAGAAGGTAAGCCAGTGCTGATAAACTCTCTAAATCGGGTTGTTTTAACATTTATTACTGAGTGAAAACAAACAGGAACTGCTGTGTGTAAATTAGTTACTATGAAGCCGGATGATGATGATTATTTGTGTCCTACACAGAGAAAAGAATGGACGTGGGATGAGAGCAAAATGCTAATCATGCATGATCCAATATACAGGTATGTAAACTCAAACCATCATATTAATACAGAATGAAATCATTAATACAGAATAAAATCATTAATACAGAATAAAGTCATTAAAACAGAATGAAATCATATTAATACAGAATGAAATCATATTAATACAGAATAAAATCATAATACAGAATAAAATCATAATACAGAATGAAATCATAATACAGAATAAAATCATTAATACAGAATGAAATCATAATACAGAATGAAATCATTAATACAGAATGAAATCATAATACAGAATGAAATCATTAATACAGAATGAAATCATAATACAGAATGAAATCATATTAATACAGAATAAAATCGTAATACAGAATGAAATCATATTGATACAGAATAAAATCATAATACAGAATGAAATCATTAATACAGAATGAAATCATAATACAGAATGAAATCATATTAATACAGAATGAAATCATAATACAGAATAAAATCATATTAATACAGAATAAAATCGTAATACAGAATGAAATCATATTGATACAGAATAAAATCATAATACAGAATAAAATCATAATACAGAATGAAATCATATTGATACAGAATAAAATCATAATACAGAATAAAATCATAATACAGAATAAAATCATATTAATACAGAATGAAATCGTAATACAGAATGAAATCATATTGATACAGAATAAAATCATAATACAGAATAAAATCATATTGATACAGAATAAAATCATAATACAGAATAAAATCATTAATACAGAATAAAATCATATTGATACCGAATAAAATCATAATACAGAATTAAATCATATTAATACAGAATGAAATCATATTAATACAGAATAAAAATCATTAATACAGAATAAAATCATTAATACAGAATAAAATCATATTGATACAGAATAAAATCATATTAATACAGAATAAAATACAACAGGATTACAATAAAAATACAATAGAAATGCAATAGGTTGCCTTCAGGACCAGGCCTCCCTTGAAAAAGAGATCTGAGATCCCAGTGGGATTTGCCTGGTAAAATGAAGGTAAAATAAATAAAATAAACCTGTCTGCATTGCATTTATTGGTCACCCAAAAACGATGACCAATATTCATTCCAGTCAGCCTGTTTAAGTTTCAACTAAAGTACTAATTGTTAGCAAACTACTGGTATACAACCTGTCAGGGGCTTCAAAGGATTCAGTAGTAGTAAGTATACTTAGAAAAAGTTGGGGGATGACTAATTATACAGTAAAGTCCAGCACTGAAGGCACAAAGTGACTGATCATGGGGGTCTTGGGGTCCTCCAGCACAAAAAATTGATATTTTAGAACATCACTGCATTTTCCTGGCATTTGGGAAAAGGCTGGGAGGGTGTTTGAATAGTCCAAAAATCTGCAGTTTTTGCGAACAATTGTACTTTTTATTTGTAAAGAATGTGGAGTTATTCCTTGTGTGAATACCTGTGTATCATTTAACAATAGTTTTTTTTTAAATCAACTTACTGTTTCATTTTTTTGTTCCATTTACAAGAACAGTTTGTGGTGAAGTAAGAAGAATGTGTTGTGTTGAATCTTCAAATGTCATTTTAAGAACAGAGCAAAAACAAAATGCAAACATATGAACAAGTTAGCATTAGAAAATGTTAAGAAATTTAAAAAAATACGTTAAGAACTGGTGCTTGACTTCATTGAAGAAAAATAAACAATTTTGCACAAAGAAAATTGTAATAAAAAAAACTTAACATCAGATGTGTGTCTCATATGTCTAATCTGGCTGAACAATTTCACATTAGTTTTGTGTCACTGGGTCACATGACCTAAAAGTTATTAATTTTTTTTCTTATGTTGTTCATTCTGTAATTTGTTGACGGTCCCTAAACAAACTGCTGTGTGTGGAGAAGGAGCGAGCAAATGAAGGGCAGCTGACTGAAATCAGACTGCTTGCACCTGGTTAAACAGGAAGAAGACAAAGCTGGAAGGAACATTCCAGTAAAAAGTTAAAACTCATCAATGGGAAATTCCTACTTCCCAATACAATTTGGCCTAAGCAAAAGTAGCTGGTAAAATACAGCTTAACAGAGATGTTACACTGCAAATTTCACCGGCTTACGGCTACTTTTGAACCCTATGTCCTCTGACATTTTATAAAAGAATATATCCACAGAATTAGTTTAGATGATAAAGATGCACTTTAAAGTTTCTTCCATGTATCCCATCATGTCCGACTCACGTGCCTGAATGATCAACAGCACTTCTGCCGAATCTAATAAATAATCTATAACTTGGCACATAGCAAGTGGAGCATATGTATGTCATCCTAATTTGAAGGAGAGTCAGTTGTACTGTGTTACGCTACTCAGATTTGGATTTGGAAGCTGTTGCTTGTAGGCAAATTGTGTCACTCTCTTTTAGTTTGATTAGACTCACTGCTGTTGGTGCAGCTGAATGAAAGGCATTGATTTGGGGCTTCTGTATCATATCCATCACTCTGTTGGTGTGGTGATGGCGGAGTCACTCACACATCCGTAAACTGGCACTCAAAAGGGCCAGCAATTTAATTATGAAGTGCCACAATAGTGCTACCTTTCCAGTGGTAGTCTTATCTACTTATGAAGCAGATTTGTGTGCACTCAGATGTGTTCACTTTTAAATTATAGATAAATATCTCTTGACAAAACCACACCTTACCAAGGGACTTGGTGGGTTACAAGCAATTATCTTAGCTTGTGCTTCTTTGCCAGGTTCCCAGTTGGGAGATGTTACAGCAGTGGATCTGCAGCTTTCCTCTTTAAAGGGATGCACACTTTGGTTAGAAAAAAACCCCTAAATGGTCACTAAAATAATTTGAAATAAAGCAAAGTAGTATTAGGAAAAAATAGCTAAAAATCACTCATTGCTTTAATAGAAATATTCAAAAAAACAACTGGCCTTGACAAAAACGCTGGTACACACAGAAAAATACTAATTTAACCTTAGGGACACTAAGGTGTGTCCTGCAATCAGCATCACAGGTATCCTCCATCTTGTAATCAGTCAGTCTACTTATTTAAAAGGTGTAAAATAGTCACAATGCTGTTTGATATCATGGCATGTACCACACTGAACATAGACCACAGAAAGCAAAAAAACAGTGTCTTATGGTACGTTCACACCAAACGCATTTTGAGTTGCAGGAACGGCCGGCTTACATGCAAAGTCTATAGCGGATGCGCCTATAGGGGTCAGATCTGTGTAGCGCGGCTCGCAAAGAAGCGGTTGGTAGCGGTAGAGCGTTTTCCATGAATGTGGTGCGTCCAAAGCAGCCAACGCTCAAGTTCAAAAATCTGAACTTCTGCTGCTCGACGCGCGGCGTCAACCAATCAGAGAGACTATTTTTTCCACGTGACGGTTTCCTGAATGTTGCCCACTAACCCGAAACAGACGGACAGGAGCTCTTTAGCTGAAATCGACCGTCTGCAGTTGGTGTTCTGGCTGGAGATATCAGCATCGATGTGGGTCAGCAGCTCGTTAAACTGACCGTGGTGTTAAACTGGGCTCGGGACAAATACATAGTTTGTCAGCTCGCAGCTCCTTGAGTGGTGAAACTGAACAAACCGCCTTTAAATTGTCTGGTGAATGAATCATCTGCTGTGCGCAACGTTCACTTGCTCTTTAGTAAATAAAGCAAAGCCATTTTCTTTATTTTATCTTTATTTCATCCGCTGAAGACAGACCAGAAAAAAAAACCCAAGACTCTCCTCCCTCTTCAGACGCACCTCTACTCTGTGTCCCGGTCTGAACGTAGAGCGTCCAACTTGAGGCATTGGACGCATTTTTGCTGCTCAAAACGCGTTTGGTGTGAACTTACCATAAGGAGTTTAGAAAGAAAATAATTGACAAGCATATGAAAAGATAAAAGACAATTTGCAAGGAACCGTTGTCCCTGTGGCTGCAGGTACGACGTTTTAACGTCTACTGGACTGTAGACAACCTCCTTAGGCATAGCAGTAAGAGAAACCCTGATGACAAACTGATGAGATTATATGACTGGTAACCAAAGAGCCCAGAAAGTCAGAGATCAAAGGTGAATTCCAAGGTCAAGGTACATCAGTGTCAGATTGCTCTATTAATCGGTGGTTGAGTCAATGGGGACTTAATGGAAGATAACTGAGGAAGACACCAAATAAAAAAGCCAGACTAAAATTTGCCAAAATCCAAACTGACAAGCCGCAAACCTTCTGGAAGAAAATCTTTTGGACAAATCAAACAAAACTGGATTTTTTTTTTTTTTGCAACAAGTCAGATTAGCTTTTCACAGACACACAAAAAACAACAACAATGAAATCTCAAGACTATCAAGGCATTCTGGAAAGAAATTTCTGCTCAGTGTCAAAAAGCTTGGCCTCAGTTTCATCAGTCTTCAAACGGGGTAATGACCTAAAAACATCTAAGAATAGCTAAGAACAAAACATTATTTGGAGCTTGTGAGCCCAGATTTAAATTCTGTTGAACATCCTGCAGAAGAAGCTGAAACCTGTAGTTTGGAGAAGCAATCCTTCAAACCTGAGACAGCAGGAGCAGTTTGAGCCAAAATACCCTCAGACAGAGAGAGTTATAGAAATTATTTGATTGCAGGGATTAAAAAGGTTGTGCAACTAAATATTTAGTCAGTGTTTCATTCTTTTGTTTTTGTCAAATACAGCCTCACCAGTTTGTTTTTAAAATAATTTTCTTGCACCAAAATTCAAAAGCAATGTCTAATTATCATTTTTTTTCTTATGACTTTTGTCAGTTTCAAGTTGTTTCAGGGAATTTTGTGGGTTTTGCTTTCTTCAATACATTTTTGTCACTTTCTATATGTACTGTAACTAAATGTATTCTAAATAATCATTTTTATATTTGACACACATAAATGTTACAAATGCAGCATTGTTTAAACCTAAACACATCCACAAACTTTCTGTGCAGAACTCTAACAGTATGTTTCTTCATGAGCCACGTCAGGCATGAAGATAGTCCAAAATGGCTGCGACGATCAACGTTCTAACGGGTTGTGGAGAACAGAACAGCCCTTTAAATGATTTGAACTATACCTTTAACCATTTATGTCTACCATGCAAATTGTAGAGATTTTTTTTTTTTTTGGGTAGGTGCAGGATGTTTTTCCTTCTTTTTTGCTTTGATCATAAAAAAGGTGAAGGACTTTGTGCATATTGCGTGCAATATATTTTATTTTCCTTAGAATTTAACTCTCCTGCCTGCCTTGGTTTCCAGGATTTTCTATGTGTCTCATGACTCCCAGGACTTGAAGATCTTTAGCTACATCGCAAGAGATGGCTCCAGTAACTCTTTCAGATGCAACGTCTTCAAATCTAAAAAGAAGGTAGAGTTAATTATGATCAACCAATCAACAAAGCACACATGTCTGAGTGTTTCCTGAGGTTACACATGAGCAAAATACCACTGTTTATATGTACACAATGTTTGTCTGTTAGCAAAATATCACACAAACCACTAAATGGATTTTGCTTTAAGAAGCTTTAAGCATATGTATATAAGAATGTACATCTAGAACTGATTTACATTTGAAGTTAATCCTAGTTAGAGATGACAGCACGGTTCATCGACCGTAAGAAACACAAACCAGACTGTATCTCAGAGATATTGAGCTAAGATTTGGCATGGCATTGGCTGAGACTGATCCCCAACATCTGCTTTGAGCACTAACAGATTGTGAAATATCTTTGTTTAAAACTTTGACGATAACCTTTGGGATGTCCCATGAACCACTGGGTAGATTTTTATGAAAGTTTCAAAACCACCGGATGTACATCTACCACTGATCAAGTTTTAAAGCCAACTCACTTCAAGATGGCCACCACAGTGGACTGTACATAAACACAAAAATAGCTGGAATTCACTTTTACAAATATTAAGCTAAAAAGTGGCAGGGTGATAGCTGAGAGGGACTCATTATGGACCACTGACTGGATTTTAATGAAACTTTCAAAAACTACTGTAATCATAGGATGTACATATACAATTGATTAACTTTTAGAGTCAGCCCCAGTTGAAGATTAGTACGACTAATAGGCCTTAGAAAACACAAAAATGGCGACAAGTCAGTCAGTTTTACAGACACCAAGCTCACAATTTGTGTAGCAGTAGCTGAGACTCATTGTCAACACATACTGTCAGCATTAGGTCTTTCAATTTAGTTTGATTGTACAAAAATAAAATAAAATTCAACACCTCAACTCTGCTCATTTCTCAATATAAGATCATCTTAGCTCAAAGCTCTGGCATGACAGGTGGTGGGAGGCCTGCATTCCTTTACAGGGTTCTGGTTGATCCTTAAGAAGTCATAAAAGGCATTGAATTCATCAATACAAAATTAAAGTCTTAATTAGCCTTAAAATGTCTTAAACTTTCAGAGGTTTTAAAAATCTTAAAAAAAAATTAAGCAGGATTTTAGTCCATCTCAATTTTTAAAACAATTGGTAACATTTATTTATTTTTACATAATTTACTGAATGCCTCTCACAGCTAATCTTTTTTTGTTGTTGTTATAATTGTTGCTAACTGTTTTTTTCCATTTGTGTTTATTGTGAAGTTGGTCTTAAATTTCATTTTAAGATGCATTAAAGAGGTCTTACAAAGTCTTAAATTTAACTTGCCTTAAGCTGTAGGAACCCCGCTTTAGTCAAATGTCTTTGTGTGTGTATAATTAATTATTAAATTAATTATAAGCATCAATGTTAATCAGTCTTCCTTCTGTCCCTGTCAGACACAGGCCATGCGTATCGTGCGGACAGTAGGTCAGGCGTTCGAGGTGTGCCATAAGATCAGTTTGCAACATGCTGAGCAGGACGTTGACGGACAGGCGGACGGAGAGAGCGACAAGTCGACAGAGGAGCCCGGCAGCCGCGGTGAGCCTCACGTTATTACTGAACATAATAAAAAAGAAACAGATAAATATTAAAACACTAGTCACTGCTTAGAAATGTTAGCCGAGGTAGTGCGACAAATCATCATGTGTTGTGCAACAAAAGTAGGACAAAGTGAGGGGGACGTCTGGGGAAAAATAAAACGTCTTTCACGGAAGAGCACTGAATACAGGAGAGCTGATGAGGTGATGAGCTGTGGGTGTTTCTTCACTAAAGATGTGTCTGTCAACACTGACTATAATGGGGTTATTTTATGGAAAATAAAGCAGGCAGCACAAACAACTGAATTATTCAAATGAATCGTTCATGTTGAGATTTTTCAGTCTAGATTAAAACAGCGCTCTTGATGGTTGATATGTGTTGTTAAAAATATGAGTTTGATGGTTTTTTTTAAACTCTTATTGGACAAGTTGTACAGAACGTTTTCATATCCACTATAATGTCCAGCACGTTTGGTCAGGATAATGTTTTCTAGCAAAATATTGTAGTAATGTGGTGGAAAAAAATGTTTGAATGAAAAGACAAAACATTTAGAGCTGTAAAGAAGCACTAGTTATTGCCTACTGCCACGAAAGGCAGGAAAAAATGAGCATTTCTGGCATTTATTAGGCCATTTTATCAAAAACATGCTACCTTGTGAGGACCCAGAGAAGATCCATTTCTGCTCCTCGACTCACAAATAAAATGTTTGGAGCTGTAAAACAGGTACAACTGTAATTATTAACTGGTGACCCGTGGGCCACTTTCAGTTTTTTTAATTGGGGGCTTTTCCTGCCAGTAGGGGTGACATTATAAAGCAAAAAATGTGGTGAATTTTAAAATTTATTATTACTCAAAAACTTTAGATCATAAAAAACATGTTCATGTAAACATGAAAAATACAGTATGTAGTTTATACCAAATTTAATACAAAATGAAAACTCCAAACTATGCAGGCATATGTGTTTTTTATTCTTAATGTTTTTTAATGGGCTCACCATATTTTCTCCTCAGCAGCTTGTAGGTTATTCCAAATTAATCTTGATGGGTTTGAGAGAAACGTCATACTGGAAGGCTGGAAGTTGGATTATTGAAGTGGCCAACAGGCCATGAGCAAGTAATCAACACGTTTCACTCCTTGTATTAGTCGTATCGATCACAAACTGGATTTGCAAACAAATTGACAGGAAAACTGCTAAAGCTAGTCTTTTCTGTTGTGGGTATAAAAACATAAATAAATCAATCTCATTTTAGTTTTGGTCAAAACTTCAACGATCCGCTGCAGAGGGCCCAAAGAGCCACAATGTGGCCCCAGAGCTGCAGGCTGCAAATGATTGAAAAATGAATGGACGTCAATGCACCTCTACAACTCATTAGTTTTTGAGTCAACCCAACTCAAGTTAGTCACTATAGCTAAAACATAAAAAATGAATGTAACAATCAGTTATCAAGTTTGTTGTGATAGTATCTGAGAGTCATTCCCCAGACACACACTGAGCACTATGGATATTTTGAGATATAGCCTTAAAACAACAGGAATATCATCCAAATATAAAACATTGGAAATTATAAGAAAGCGTCTTGCTGTATTTTATATTTTATGAACCGTTGTGAGGAACCCGAAAGGTGCACTATCCTGCGCAGTTTTTACAGGCAAACCCCTAATCTGGTGAACTGATTTGATTCGGGCACATAAAGCCGTGTAGATCTTGGTTTAGGGAGCAAAGATGAAAGCAGTGAAGGTGTTTGTGTGCAGCAAAGGGAGACCCTGTTGTCAGGGCAGGTGTGTGTGACTGCACGTTGTTTTGGGTAGAAATCAAAGAGAATGAGGCAGGGAGCTACTCTCAGGTGTGCGACTCCAAAAATAGACAATCTGTTGTCTGCTGGTACATTTTTATTGTGTCCCTCTATCACAAACAGACGACTGTTTGGGCAAAAACGAACAAAGCTGCAGTTTCTGTCCTGCTTTGTTTCACTTTGTTACAAATACTGTACTTGTCTACCATCATACACAGATGTTCTTTTAGGGTCTCCGCAGTTTTCATTTCAAGCTAAATGGTGCTCGCTCGGATCAGCATGCCTCTGTTGCCTGATCCACACAGTTGAGTTGTCGGTCGTAATGAAACCATTCCTTTGGGTCACAGCATACGTAGCTTACAGGACAACCTGGAAATCAGGAAAATAGGAAGTAAAGCAACAGAACCAGTTAGAATAAAGCAGTTCGGTGTGAGCTGAGGTGTTTTTAGTTTACATTTGGATCTGCAGATATTTCAGGAAATAGTTTTTTTTTATGTTTTTATTTTTTTGGTTTTTAATTTAAAGTCTTGTGAACTGTTTTGTTAAAACACTGAAAGTTGTCAACACCCGAGCAGTTTCTGTGAATACTCAGATTTATGCGTATTGATCTAAGTATTAATAGTATTGATGCTAAGATGAGTATTGGTATCAGAGAGATGCTAGCACGATGAGATTGACACTTTTGTTTACACATTGCTTGCACCACTAACTTTTTTTTGGGGAATAAAGTGATAATTTAAAGTCAGTAGTGACTCCAAGTTGTTTGTAATAATCAATAGTAGAAACCCCTCCTCTTCATTATGCCGGCGTCTAATAGAAGGCATTTTTGGTTGACATTGTTAAATTATGTTGTTATAATTACATTGTTGCTTTTTTGTGTTATTTTGCATTTGATAACTTTTTTTTCAGTTTGTGTAAAGGGGATGTAATTTTTTTATATTCATTCTCTTACATTGTTTTATATTGATGTCGTTATAGTTAATACAAAACGTTTTCGTTTGCCTAAAATTCTTGTCCTGTGTTTTATCATAATCGACTAACTAAAGGAAAAATCCAAAAATTATAATTATAATTATCATGATATTTTCATTAAAAAGTATTGGTATGTGCATTGGAATCAGAATATGTGACACTAGCATGGTATTTACGTGGTATCGGATCTGTACCAAAATTCCAAGTATAACCCACCTTCCAAAACGAGCTGTTTGTTGCATAAATTGAAGTCTTCGAGAACCATAAAGTCAACAAACTGCAACAGCTCATTCACATCCCCCCATTATCTTGTTTTGTGTTATTAAATTTTAAATGCTCTTGTCCTCAACCCTTAATCTGTTTATTGTGGCATTGTTGTTGGAAAAACCCTTTCAGTTGTTTTATGAAAACACGTTTCATCTTCAACACAAGGACTGAAAAATAACTTTTGTTGAGAACAAGGCCTTTTCTAATCCCTCTGGCCTCCTAAGGTTTGAGCACCCCACCACCACCCCGTGGGTCAAGCTTGACTGTGTTCTGTAGCGGTTTGATTACACGCTTTATTAAGGCTGACATGGAAAAATCAAACCACAGCAGCTCATTAGTTTTGGCTGGTGATCAAACAGCACAGATGTCTGGTAGCAGCTTGAATGTCAACAGATTTAGGGAACATGGAAATAATAATGTGGATCTAAGTGTTCATTTGGGCCTTGTGCTGCAGCACCGTTCATGAAGGATAGCTAACACCGAAGTGTGATTAGCAGTGCTTCCGGTAATGACTGTAATTTGCTGTGCGTCCTTACTGTTATTGTGTGTTTGCTCTGAAGATAGTACTAACGTAGGGTTTAATATTTGATCAATAACGAATTGCTACGTTGGATACTTTTGAACTTTCAGATGAAGTAGAAGATGAAAAGTCTACAGAAGTCAGCTCTGGGAGTAAGCTTGGGTCTTTTATGTGTGTGTGTGTGTTTTTTTCACAGGTCGTAAACTAACTGGAGCAGAAGGAGAAAATGAAGATGGAGACAACCAGAGTGGATCGGATCCTTCAGTTGGTGCTTCGCTGTGTGAGAAGGCTGTCAGTGAGGTCCTGCAGAGCTTGGCTGAGCTGAATGTTGTCAAACCTGGACAGACCATAATGGTGAGACATTAAACACGTACAGTTTATTATTGCTGACACAGTTCTGGTTTTATCATATTAAGAGGGTGATTTTCTTATTAAAATCACCTTTTTAATGTTTCTTGTCTAAGTAGAGAAGGGCTGTAAATGGTGCCGACAATATTAGGAAAACATTTTCAAATCTCTAGGAAAGGTTCAAACATCCTTAAAGGCACAGTGTGTAGGATTTTGTCAATTCTTTTGAGATAATTGAGATAATCACTAATGACAATAATAAAAAAAACATATCTAATCATTGCAGACAAAGACCTTGTTTTATTATTTTTACCTCATAAAAAGCTGTTTATATCTCCATGGTCGCGGGTCGCCACACAGGCAGCCGCCATCTTGCACCGCCATCTTGCCTACGAAGGCTCATGAAGGACAAACTGCGGTGGCGGCATCAAAAACGGTTTTAGTTGTAATACTATAAATGTAATATTTGTTGTCTGTCATTGTAGCTGGGATAATTTTACTTATTAAAAACTCATAATCTTACCACTTGAAACATCACTAGCCCTGAAGCTGCTGGTAGACATCGTGGTTGGAATTATCAAAGGTTTTTGACACCTGAGAGACACCGTAGCAACTCCTTTGTGTTTGGAAGCGGGGGGCGGGGGTGGGGGGAGGACCAGGGAGGATGATTCAACCACTCAACCACTAGATGTCGCTGAAAACAACAAATCCTACACACTGTGCCTTCAACGATATTTGATTTGAGTTGTTCAGTGGTGCTGAATTCGATATGATAAACTGATATAACCAAGTTGTTATTTAATTCAGGGGTGTCAAACTCCTGTCCTCGAGGGCCGCTATCCTGCATGTTTTAGAGGTTTTCTTGCTCCAACACACCTGATTTTGATCGCTGGGTGATTAACAGGCTTCTGCCCAATTTGAAGAGTTAATTCAGTCACTGAATCAGGTGTGTTGGAGCTGGAAAACCTCTAAAACATGCAGGATAGTGGCCCTCGAGGACTGGAGTTTGACACCCCTGATTTAATTTAACTAAAACTCTTTTTAAGGGCCCAGTATGCTCCAGCTGAAGCCTCAATGCATCACATGGTTTCGCACACATCTTTCATAACTCATGCAACACATGCAGCAGAACTCCTGGGAAACATCTCCTGCTGTGGTGCATGTCACAGCAGAAGAGTCTCCACAAAAGTGCTCAATATCTGCCAATACTTTGGCCACAAATCTGTCACAGTTAAAACGCCACATTTTTTGACAGATGGATTCCTCTGTGCACAACGTCTTTGTTCTCTCTGTCCACGAGTTTTGGGCCATTTGTCTATCTTTATAAGTGCGTCCGGAAAAATCCTACATATGGACGTACTTTCTGTCTGCCTCAAACAACTTCTCCTCAAAACTACACATGCTGGATTCACAGCGCTCAGCTTCCCGGATTTACAAGACATTTCTCTTAGGATCCTGATTGTTTCACTAAATACCTCAATTATCCACAACTCAATCCACAAGCCGAGGAGTGCTCGTTTGCTGAGATACTTAGATTAGACCGAAATGCATAAGTATGCAAAAAAATCAAATAAAATTTGAAACGTTCCCCAAGGAAGGACTTAAACGTTTCCTAATTCATAAAAATATTGCAGAATTGGCCTTTTGGATAGACTTGATATCACAAATCACTTTAAGGTCCGTTTACTGCTGGATGATTTGAAAAAGTTCACGGCTTCACTGTTTCTGCCGTTTTCCCCTTTTGAAAGTTTTCAGCTCAGCACAAAGTGTTCACATCTACTGATGACTTCACAGGAATAAGTTCAGACTAAAAAAACCTAGTTCTTGAAGTAATGCATGTTGCTCGCCACCTTTCATGCCAGAGTTTTAAACAAAAATCATCTCATGCTGGGAAGTGAAAGGGTTTACAGATGTTTTGGATGAACCTCTTAAATGAATTTGTGTTGTTTACCCTCATGAGATATGCTGGATATGTGTGTTAGGAATGGCTGTCTGTTACTACCACACTTTGTCACATTGTCAAAAAAATTACTTTTCTATGGGTCCCTTGAAGGAAATGTCCAGATAATAATCCTAAAGGACGTTTGAAGCACTTTCCTAAGCAATATTTTGAGTTAAGTTAGTTAAGTTGTTTGTATCATTGTAAGTAAAATTTGTAGGGATGCACCGATACCAGTTTTTCTAAAACTGAATAAGAGTGTTTTAGTTTGAGTACTTGTCATTACCCAATATCGACACCGAGTACTTACTGAGTTAGAACTTAAACATTACACAGTGATTTTAAAAACACATTTTTAAAAATTAAAACTTGGTACTAAATCAGATACATGTCGATGTTTGTCAAAGCGAACTGCAGTTCTTTGAAACAGTCAAAATTCTTTCAACTTTTACGTCTGTGAGTTGGAGGTGTGCAGATTGTCAGTGGTTCCCAAACTTTTTATCTTCTGACCCACAAAATATTCATGGCAAATCTTGTGACCCCAAATATTACTGGTCTGAGTACACAAACTTTGTTAATAACCCTAAAAACAAAGGCTACACAAATATAAATACTTGATTATACTTATTTTGTGTTTTTGTAATAATTATACGGAAAATATTACATCACCAATTATTTTTTTACCCTTTAAACTGATTTCTGAAGTGCAGTGGTTCCCAAACTTTTTAACAGTAGCAGAGACCTGTGCCCACAACTAGTTTTGGATGATAAACCTTTGTATCAGGTCAACTAAACATGGGCATAGTAACAATATTTATTATTCTATATTTATACATTTTAGGCAACTAAGGCAAAAATGTCATTAATTTAGAAAAGCTTTTCAGGACCCCACCTTGATGTTTCAGGACCCCACTTTGGGTCCCTACCCCAACTTTGGGAACCACTGATCTAAGTAATAGTGATACTAACCTTGAGTCGTTCAGTTTAAATCTTGTAGCTCCACATGTTTTTTTCATATTTTTCTTTTAATTTTCCATGTCCTGGATGACTGAGAATCCACAGACATGACAGTAACGTTGGTGTCGGACTGTGCTGATACTAAAGCGGATCAATGATTTAGTTAGCTTTACGTAGAGCATGTCGCGTTGCTCTCGTTCCGTAAATACACACTTCACCAGAGCAGCCGACCAAATGCAGGTTAAAATGTAAACAATGAACTAAGTCAGATGATCATTTAACCGGCTCTGACTGCGCAACAAATTCAGAATCGACTTGCTAACATGTAGCATCCAAGGGTAGCAACCTGTTTACTCCTGGTCGGCTGTCGGTGCCACAGCTGCCCTTTGAGCAAAAACAGGCCCTACATTTAGGCTATTTTTCCTGCTCACTAGTGAAGCTAATTTCAATACCAATTGGGAAATCCTGATATCCAAATATGGTTTAAAGTTTCCTCTTTCACACGACACCAAGAAATCCTCAGTAGAAAATGTTAAAATAGTATTTGGACCAATTTTCCAGGGGTCTTCCTGATTAACAAAACAAATCAAGACACATCTCTGGAGCCTTCTAGTTATCTAGAACTACTTCCGTTTAAAAAGCCAGGAACATGAAAATATGCTTAGTTTAGTTTGGCCTGATATGAATTAATACCTGATCTGATGTGATGGGACACATCAGCTCCAAGACCAATTCAACAGATATCTCTATCTGCTACCATGGCTTTTTTTTTTTTGTTCTGTTTTTGGCAAAAACACATCAAATTTTCATGGAAATAGTTCAGAAGTCAGAGCTATCTTTAAAAGGTTTTGTACAAAAGAGCTCAGAGAGTCAACATCATGTCCTCAGTTAGCCCTCAGGTTCTGCTTGTCCACATTTTCATCCCTTCATGTTCCTCCTTTCCTCCCCAACTCAGCAGTAGCATGGAGCAGGCTCCACACTGTGATGATTGCAGGTTTCTTTGTTGCAGCTTTTGTGTCTACATGACACTGACTCTGCCCTCTTGATTCATAGCTTGGCTCGGGTGGCACTTCATGCTGTTATCAGTGAGCAAAGCTTCCAAATGGCTCATAGAACTAAGCATCAACCGAGATGAGTTTTGTCTTCTTCCTGACCGAAATCAGCCGGTGTAAAAAAAAACTGTCGTCCTGTTGGGGGTGAAAAAAATAAAGACAAGGAGGATCAGAGTGGGTAGCTTGACTATTCCTGCCTGCTGTGTCAAAGAGACATCTAATCCTCCCCAAAACCAAGTCTGTTCTCTTTGATTTCTGAAAAAAAAAAAAAAAACCTGCCACAATAATCCAACTGAGGGGTTCGGAACATCTGCTGTGTGAAGATAAGCACCAAACAAGTAGGAGAGAGGCAGGAAGAAAGATAAGGAAAGGCTCAAAGTTTGGGCAAAAGATCGTTGATAGATCCTTGTGCTGAGTTGGAAAAAGTGTGCTGAAAACGCCTGAAGATTAGCTTAATGATGTTGATTACAACTCTGATCATGTACAAAAAGTAACTCATTAGAGTTATTGCTTATTTAAGGTCATTTTTAAAAATTGCTTGTATACATGCCATGTAGAAGAGTTTTCTGCCTTTTGTTAATTTTAGGAGGCTCACTTCAGATTTTATTGTGCTGCTCTCCCCTCTAGCGGTTGAATGTGGACATTACAAAATGAGAGAAAGATAAAGGCCGGTTTTAATGAGAACAGAGAGAACTGGTGTGACTTTCTTACAGTGTGCTGTGCTACGACTGTGCATCGACTACCACGTCAAATTGTATCTCAACATTGGTAAAAAATGGCTGAGTTATCGCCATTTTAGTGTTTCCTAAAATTATGTGGCGATGACGGCAGTGAAACAGTTGCACCTGTATTGATTTATTTCTAAGAGTTTTTATTAAGATCTATCCAGTGATTTATTAAATATATTTTGAACAGATTTTGAACCTGATAGTTGATGGCAAAAATTTACTAAGCGATCAGCGAGCAGTTAGTGCCAAGTTAAGGAATGACTGTCAGCTACTACCACACCAAATTTAGCTATGTTTATGAAAGTTAGAGCCATTTAGCCATTTGCGTTTAGTTTATAAAGTGTATTCATTTCATTTAAAAAAAGAACAAATTCTATATACAGTAAAAATACAAATCACAAATAAAATGAAAGACGGCAGAAAGAAGAAAAAGTCAAATCTGCCCCTCTTTTCAAAAAAATCAATTCAAACAATAATCTTCAAATAACAAAAACGTTAACTACTTTTTCAAGCAACAAGTTGTACAGATACAAATTATACTATTTCATATGTTTTCAACAAACTAACTTTTTACCATTCTCTTAAATATAGCTGGCATCTTTAACATCACTTTCTAGATTAATCCAGAATTTTATATATAAATGGGGGCAGATATAAGATTTTTTTCTTCTTCTGTTGCCTTTCATTTTATTTAATTTGTAGTTTTGTTTTATGTGAATTTGTTTTGTTTTTTAAATAAAATGAATAAAAAAAACTAAGTACATCGTTCCTTTCTACGTCTGTTTATGTTGATAGGCGGCCATCTTGAATTGGGCTGACTCCAAAGATTAATATATGTTTGATGTTCATTCGATAATTACTCTGAGTTTCATTAAAATCCCTTCAGTGGCTCATATGAAATGTTGCTAACACACACACACACACACACACACACACACACACACACACACACACACACACAGAGAGAGTGAGAGAGATAATAACATATTCAGTATTTATGCATGTATAATGGGAAAGGTTTAACCTCAAAAATTAACCATGTACATGCGAGTAAATTTTGATCGATGTTTTGATAATGCACCATCTCAATAAATTGTAATATTGTCTCGTACAGAACTAAAATATTGTCTCCGAGGTGGAAAAATATTAACTTTATTTCTTTTCACGTCAACCATGTTGATGGAAAGAAGACATTATTTGCATGTCCACATTAGGGGTGTAACGATACATTGATCTATATTGAAATATCGATATAAATGGTTCATGATTCAGTTATATCGAGGCAAAATGAAAATATAGATCTATATCGTCATCATATGCTCGATGGGAATCGACATCATATGCGGAATATGATATCGTATTATATCGATCGCAGACGTGAATTGAATTTAATCGAAATCGTATTGCGACAGACTTTGTGATATCGAGAAATATCAAAATGTCATTCAAACATATCGATGTAATATCGTATCGTGATAAAGCTGGTGATTTACACCCCTAGTCCACATGTTCAACAGGACCAGACGTGCTGCTCCTCGAAGCTGCCCATCTTGCTAATTTACCAAGCAGCTTCATTTTCAGCGACATGCAGAAGCTCGCGCTGCTCCTCCACCCTCCACAGGGCGCACTACAAAGGCTGAAAAATCCAGAAGTCTGTATTAAAGTAGGGGTAGCATTATACACAAGGATTAGATTTTTTTATGCTTTGTAAGCTTAAAAGAATGGGGGGGGGGGGGTGTCATATTATACTCAAATCGCATTAAACATGCATAAATACTGTAACGATAACAAGGTCCAAAGCTGGTGATGTTATGGTCGTGACAGCTGTTGTGTTTTTGTTCACTTGGGACCGTTTTCTGAGCCAGTCTATGTGTTTTATGTCCTCGCTCAGGACTTTGATGGAAGGTCCGTCTTCACTGTGACGTCCCAGGGCATCACTCCCAGCAGCCCTTGCTCTACAGCCCTCACCCCGCTGGCAGCGCAGCACTACTTGCAGCTCCTGCAGCAGCAGCTGCAGCAGCAGCAGCAGCACACGCAGGTGGCTGTGGCACAGGTGAGACACCCACAAAGGCAGCCAATCACAGCGCTCGGTGTGAGGAGTGGGTTCAGCGCTGACAAATACAGGAGCCGTATGAGGAAACATCAGTGATTCTTAATGCACACAACTTAAAGGATGGTTCTAGTTTAATAAACTAGAGCCTCGTTGTTTTAATTATGGCTGGCAAAAACTGTTTGCTTTGCAAACAACATCTTAAAGGGATAGTTTGGATCTTTAGAAGTAGTTCTGTAGAAAGATTAGCTTATCTTTTTAATTGTTTTTTGAGCAGCTTCCGATTAGAAAAAAAAAAAGATTTTATTAACTTGTCCAAGCAGGACCAAACCCGATGCTGCAGTTTTAAAAACTACAGTTTCATTTTGTTATAATTTTCAAGAGAAAATAGAAGCAGCAGCAGCAGCTAGTTGTAGCACTTTAGACAGGACTATCAGAATTATACAAAACAAATGGTGACATAAAGCTTTGTAAAGTTTTACTGTTTTTCAACAACCGCCCTGAATTTTTTAAATTGGAGTTGTTCTTGCTTGGTAGACACCCACCATGATCTTAGCTGTGCTCTGACTAGCCATTAGCTCATCCATCTGGTTCGAATTAAACATTATTTCTCGTCGTTAAAAGAGCAATCGACAACAGGTAAGAAAGACAAACAATTGCTTGAAAGAAAAAAAAACATTTTCTTAAATTACTTTTAACATATAGCATACATGTTTAAATTAATAGTAGCTAATCTTGTAGTATTTTATTGTTGTAGACCAGCTCCAAAACAAATGTCTTTATTATTCATTTAGCAAATATGGAAAATATGACATTTTTGTTCCATACAACTGCACGATTATTTAAAATTAAATAGTGTGTGATAGAATCAGCAGCATTATGATTTGTTTATAGTCGATAAATGAGGAACCTGTTTGTTTCATGTGAATTCTGCACCACTAGAGAGCAGCACTAATACAGTAACAGAAGGACTGTAAATATAAATGTTTACATTTTTAGTTTCAGTACTGTGATAGACAGGATTATAAATCCAGTTTAGTTTCCATAGAGCCATGCTGGGGGTAAAGGTAGGACATAAGGCGAAGCGATGAGTCAGGAAAGTGGATTAAACGGGTTTTCCTTCGGATGGTGTTTACAGATACATAAAGTGAGCGTGCCCTTTGCTCCCGCTGCAGGTGCAGCTGCTGAAAGACCAGATGGCAGCGGAGACAGCTGCTCGAATGGAGGCTCAGGCTCGGATCCACCAGCTGCTGCTGCAGAACAGGGACCTGCTGCAGCACCTGGCCCTGCTCGTGCAGCAGCTGAAAGAGATGGAGGCCCACGCCGCGCACACGGCACCGGCAGAACCGTCACAGCGAGCGTCTCCGGCTAACGGACAGAGTAAGTGACCTGATTTGTGACGGGGAGGGAACAGTGTGACTCAAACAAGTGTCAGGTCCGTTTTCTGCGGAGCTGCTGTCCTCATTACTCGCTCCTCTGGTTGCATGTGGATGAAACAGTCAGTCGCCACACAAATCGTGACTCCACGCTGACTTCCTGTCTGAAATTTTTCTGAAAATATCAGAATAATCACTTTAGTCAAAAAGATTGAGAACTTGATGTAATGTTTTATTTACCTCAGAAGTCCAGATATTAAACCAAGAACAGCAAGGATGATGCTGAAGTTGGCTTATGATTTAAAGCTTCCAGTCAATCAGTTTTGAGGGGAAAAGAAATAAATCATGTGCTTTTATTCAGAAACCAACTTCAGCAGAGCAATTAAGCAGAAATATACTCTGAGTTACCTGGGGAAAAAAATTATTTGACCAGTTTTATGTCTACTTCATTCTGTTTTTCATCATAGACCCGTTTCTCACAACCCAGATACCAATCAGTCCAAAGAAAATCATGAACAGAGCCATGATCCGAAACCTAAGCTTTGACTAGAACCTCCCTGTTGATATTTTAATTGACTGAAAAGCATTAAATTAAGTCTTGTACATACAAACATCATTTTATCATGGTTCACTTGTAGAAATTCTCCAGCACCATCAGTTCAGCTGATTTAATGATGCTCAAACTGACAAAAATCCTAATTATCAGCTTATAATGCCACCTGTCACCATCTTTAAATATTTTTCCATGGCAGCCGAGAAGGATTTTGAAGTTGGTGCTCATTTAAATTCCTAAACTTTCAAAGCTAGAAATCTGACCTTGGTCATTTTTACCAATCAGCTTTCCTCTTGAGATGGAAAAATGAAAGCTTCTGAGTTCAAATGTAGCAAGAAAAGTCTAGTTAATATGGCGTTATCAACTAAAGACATACTGTTTACACATTTCTTTTTAGAATGTTTGTGTTGGGTTTGTTTGAAGTCAGGATGTAACTGCTACAAAACCATTACATCATCTCTTGCGTATGGCAGGTTGGATGCTACAGTGGGTTCAGGAAGGCTGTAATTTCAGAGTACAGAAGGTGGGATTTAACTTTGCTGACACACACGAATTATCACTAAACACAGACTGTAACTGAGGCTGATGTCATCTTTTGAAGCAGGACTGTCAAACTCAGTCACACTGGAAGTTCTCAAAAAATATGTCAAATTATTTATCTATAAATTTGAATTACTGTACATTTTCCCAAGATCCATTGTACAGAATTCTGAACAAACACGACTTAATCGTTAAAAAAAATTTATATGTAGGGGTACATCATTAAAATTCAATTTTATGCATTGTTTTGTATTAGTACTTCATTTACTCTGTATTTCTTAGTAAAAATAGTACAATTTGGATTTGAAATAAAAAGTGAACACAGAAAAAAATGAAATATAAAATTAAGTGAATCGTTCCTCTGATTCACATTAGCTCAGATCAGTTTCAGTTTTTAAAACATGTTTGATCTTTTTCACATCAAAATAAAAGTTTATAAAAATAACTAAATTTTCTATGTTTTAAGTTGGGTAATTACTGTGAAACATCAGCAGTACTTTCTACTTATATACAGTGTTTTAAGCAAAACAAATATTTTGCAGGCCATATTTTGCCTGTGGGCCTTAAGTTTTACACATGATCTGAAGGTTTTATCATCTTCAAACCTGATGTTTTAAGATTAGATTTATCTTTTAAAATGATTATTTTTTAAATAAAGTCTTAATCGTTCACTTAAAAGATCATACATATGAGTTTCACTCTTCTCTAACACACAACAGCTTCACTATAAAATCCTCTAAGTTCTCCAGTATTCAGTGGATTTTAAACTGCCCCCTCTCAGCATTATTTTACACTCACAGACCATTTCCTCATCAAACAGTTTTATTGTATGTACAGCTTATATATTGGAAGAGCATTTGGAGCAGTCTTTGCTCAGCCGTATTTACAGCAGCTTCGAAAATGGCTGATCTCATCAAAATGAATATAAACGACCACATTCTTCTTCTCAGTCAGTATGTCTGAGTCTGCATCCCTATTGATTTTTTTTTTTTACTTGAGTATGTGTACATTTTAATCTTTCACAACATGCTCCGAGCCTTTATTCATCATGTCAGTCTTTTTTAACAGAAAATGATTGTGTTGCTAATCTCAGATGTGGCTGACCTGAGTGCGGCGGTTGGTTCTGTGCTGACTTCTCTTTTCTGCTGAATCAGCACTTTGGGAAATCATTACAAATAAACTCAACCTTTTTTAAAGTCTGCTTGCTCTTACGACAATGTCAAACTAAGACCCAAGTATTGTGAGAGTTATGGCTTTTTTTTTTGTCAAACCTTTAAGGTCATGCTATGCGTGAGGTATGTTAGTTGTAATTGTGACACCAAATATTAATTAGTTTTAGATATATTAGTCAATTATTACTTCCTGAGAGTTTTATTTAAAATATTTACAGTACATGAGATGTTTTGCTATAGCAGATTGTCAGTGTTGACACCAACAGTTAAAGGGGCAAGATATGTAAAATCAACTTTTTTGAGTTTTATATCATGTTATAATGTTATACTCTCATAAAAAAACATGTCCAAAGCCTTGCTTTGACTCATTCATGCATGTTTGAGAAATCCTGCAGCGTTTCTAGGAAGCCATGCTGAGGAGCAAAACGACAGGTGGGGACCAGAAACGCCTTTTGGTACCAGAAACGCCCCTGGGACGTGTCTTTAAGCTGAACTTCCTCATCATGGAGAACACCTCCCCACCTCCCACCCCACACACCCCGCCCTTGACTCCTGCAGGCTCTCGGCAGTAAAGTGAAACTGAAAGTGAAACTGCAACTGTCTGCTGAGCTCTTAACACCACTTCTCACTCAGTGAAGCTCTTTTCAGATTCAAAATACCTTTGATGAAATGCATTTTCAGATGCCAAGTAAACTGCATCATAGCGCACGTGGAACCCCCCCCCCACCCCCACCCTGCACTGAAATGGGCGGGACAGAAGTGGAAGGTGGCTCTTAAAGAGACAGAGGCCAATTTCAAGGTGTTTAGAATAGGAAGTGATGAGAAGATAAGTTTATTGTCTAAACATAAAAACAGCATTTTAATAACAGTTAAAGGTGACATAGATACTTTATTCTGGTATAGTATTTAAATGTATGCCTGAGAAACATATAATATTGCCCCTTTAATGCAAGACTAAAGGCCCTGTCACACTAGACAACTTATGAAACTTTTTATGTCTAAATTGCTAATAAAAGTTATATATTTGATAAATTTGTTCCAATTGCATTATGTACATGCCAAAAAGAAGATTCATGCTGATTTTTTTAATTCCATCTTCAATGTAGACGTCTTTAAAATGTTCATAAGTTGGCATAAGTTGTCTAGTGTGACAGGGCCGTAAGTAAACATGTTATATAGTTAGTTGCCCTCAGAGTATGTGTTGACTCTGAGCTACCAACTATTAACTCAGAATCTGTAAAGCTGATTTAGTGTCAAACTGATTTTCGACGAGGGCCACATGAGTGTTATGGTGGCCCTCAAAGGACCAGTTGTAATTAACTTCAACGTTTTGTAGGAAAGATATGCGTTGTTCAAAATGGTATGTCTGAATAAACATGAATCTGCTGGATTTCTTCTTTAAAACTTTATTTTCAATCTTCTGACTCCGATCAAGTTTACAGTACAGCAGGCCTCAGTCTAAGACCTTAAGCTGAATCAAACCGAAACACAGCAGCCCTGCTCTAAAGCAGGCACTGCCGAACACTGACAACTTCCTTCTCCTATAATAATAATAAATTGACCTTAAAATGTTCATCTCTTCCTGGTTACACCTCTGGAGGTGTTACCTTTTACGTCAGACGACAGAATGTACCTCGTTTTTGTTTAGACTAAAGAAAGGACACATGATAAGACACACACCAACTCTTTGTCTGCTTTAACTTAAAGACTGAAATGATCAGAAAGTATAAAATACAAAACTGCATCTAACATTCAATTAATTAGTTACAAAATTTCCTTCAGTTTTGTGTTTAACTTTGGCTAAACATGAAATGTCATGCTCCTCGTCTCATTGCTACGGCTGAGCACCACTAACAAACAATAACTGAGCTCTATGTGGTATTTCCTGCATAGAAACAGCATTTTAACATATCCTGTTAGAAACACTGAAAAGTACTACGTGTATGTCTGACTGAATGGGAAATAAATAATACAGAAACACTATTAAAAGTAAAAGAGGTTTATTCACTGTTTAGTTGTGGTGAGCAGCTGCCATGTTGAATTCTGAACTTTCCCAATTTCTGACAGGGAATTCCCACTGGAGGCGCGTTCCAGTTTAAATTTATGACTTGTAAGTGGGAAGTTCCCACTTCCCAGTACAACTGGGTTGCCAAAAATGTATCTGGTGGTAATGCAGCAAATGGCAGATTTCCCTCTGAATTTTGCAGGCTGCCGACTACCTTTGAATCCTTTGTACCTCCCTCTAGTGCTAAGAGGCCATTTCTGCAAGTAAAACAATCAACATGCATTATGGTAGATGTAGTTTATGGTCAATGCTGGCTTCAAAGAAGCTTATTCTGAGACATTAATACAGGGATATTCAGGGGGAACTGTTAATCAAACCCAAGCATTATTATCTTTCACTTTTTTTCACAATGAATCATAATCTGACCTTGAGCTTGACACGTGAATTATAGTAATTTTTGATATCAGATTTGTATTCAGTGATTTCTGAAAGTTCCACTAAAATTTGTCCAGTGATTCATGAGATGCTAATAGACCAAAAATAAATAAATAAATAAAAAAACAGGAAGTTAACACTTGGGGGTGTAGTGGTTTTATCTCATTACGTCTCTTTGTGTTTTCTGTCTTCTCCAGATGGTTCGCAGTCAACACCAGCAAACTCTCTCTCCTTGAATCTGAAGAAGCACTATAGTCCGACCCTGGAGCGCCACCCCACCTCCACCCCTGCGTGGCCGCTCCAGACCTCAGTGCTCTCCCCGGCCCCGGTGGTCTGTGCAGAGTCCTACCTCAACCTGCTGAACCTGGAGAACAGCACGAAACCAGCAGCCCTCACTGACCTGGACCCTTTCATCAGGACCAACGGCACCGCGGAGGGCAAGGAGACCTCCAACGGAGACATCGTCCAGTTCTCGTCCAGAAACTCTGCCAGCATAGAGGAAAAGTAAGATGGCTGCATTTGTTTCACACATTATAATATGTCTACATTCAGAGCCAGCTGTTTGGTTCTGGATAATAATTTGAATGTCTTAGCATCTTCAATGTGCTTTTCTTACTAAAAAGCAAAAGTTGTAGCATTGTTTTGTAAATGCTAATTAAGATTTATGATGAATTGATATTAAATCTGGAAATAGGTTCATGGATTCATAACTTAAGGTAATTAATACCTAAAAAAGTTTAATTTATCTATTAGGAAGTAGTTATTGCCTTCTATTAAAAGTCAAGATGCGAGCAATAAAGTTTTTACCTGTTTGTCTGTTAGCAAAATATCTTACAAACCACTAGATGGATTTTAACAGAAGTCTCAGATTTTAGTCACTGAATGATGACCTACAACTGATTAACTTTTGGATTCAACCTGATTCAAAATAGCTTCTACAGCTAATCAACTTTAGCAAACACAGAAATGGTGAAAACTCAGTCAAATCTGCAGAAAGTGAGCTCAGATTTGGTGTGGCAGTAATTGAGAGTCATTCGCAACACCTGCCACGAGGACTGAACAATCAAATAAAATGATGAGTTCAAAGGGACATCATGTCTGGACTTACTGACCACGATTTTGTCATGTTCATCCTCCTCTGGCTCTGGATCAGACTCTGGTTCCAACATGTAAGGCTGGATGGATAAATCTTCTGTTGTTGACATATTTTAATTAAATTGTTAAAAATATTTTTGCCTAGAAAACGGTAACCCCTTCTCTCAAACTTGAATGGATCGGTCTGGAAGCCTGAAGTGGGCGGGGCATAAAGCGGCTTAAAGGGAACAGTATCAAAACCAGCAGCTTTGAGAAATACATCAGAAAAGTGGGGCTGGTAAATCCAGACCAAAGCATTAGTTCCACTTTATAAAGACCCCAACTGAAAGACTGAAATGTGAAAAATAAGGATTTAAAAGCATGACATGAAACCCCTCTATTAAAGCTGGAGCGGGGTGAAGCGCCTCGTTTGGATGTAAAGAAACAGCCTCAAAACGAGTTGATCTGAAATGTACCTCAGAAAGGTGGCAAAAATGGGGCTTGTGGAGTTACAATAAGGAGGAATTCTTTACTTTATATTGACCCCAACTGAATGATTTAAGGATTTTAAAAACATGGCATGTCTCCTTAAAAACCTGAACAAACATGGTGGTGTATGCATTTCTTCAAGGAATGCTAAATTCATCATTTAAAAAAGAATTTGTGACACTGCACGTTTCTGGTTGTTTTCCCCTTATTGATAATCTTTGTGCTAATCTGAGCACATGCTAACTTTTCTTCCAGTTTAACAATAAATTGCATAAAATGTAAAATACTTCATGACTCCATGTACAAAGTGGCATACATACAGTTTGCAGTGTAAATGCTGCTACCAAGACAGCTTGTGTTTGGGGGGGAGTGTAGCCTGGTGATGGAGATATAAACATTGTGTAGCTTTTAATGTTATTGCTGGAGAACAGCCCGAGTCAGCAAAAAAATGCCAGCGGCTAATGAAAGAGTGAGCGTAATCAGGGGATTATGTGGGGCATCGGGGGGGCTTGGCGTTAAGTGAACAAAGAGGGGATGAGCTTAAAAGCAAGAATCAGAGGAGATTTCTAAGAAACAGTAACTCATCAGTTTTAACTCTTGTCCTCGTCTTCCTTTTTTAGCCACTTTGTGAAGCCATTAAAGAACACGTGAAGAGACTAAATGGAAACTTCCTTTTTTTTTTTTGTTTCACGGGAGTGATCTATAATAAATGCATTTTTTTGTTGCTTTTCAGGGATACTCTGTTCGTCTCTGTTGTGCATAATTTAGCATGCGAAGTGCTTCCACTCCTGTACCTTTGAGATTGGTTATGTCTGAATTTCTTCCCTGTCAAATGCTCTAATTTGTACCTTTAGTGCATCTGTGCAGCCGGGGCTACTAATCACAATTTAATGAGATTTTTAATGGGCTTTTAATCCTTCTAAAGCTGTCACAAAGATCAGCTATGCTAAAAAACAAAATAAAATAAATTCGCAACATGACATTACGGGGTCCTCTTAAGCGGGGCAAACTGATTTTCTTCTATCCTCTTTTTTATGTGCTTATTTCTCACTCTGTGTTTTCTTTTCCTCTCTGAAAGGAGTGTGCAGACCTGTTTGAGAAACGGGAGAGTAAAACAGGATTTGGAATTGACTTAGCAGAGTGGTGGGCGCTGGGGTCTGTCATTTTATACATTGCAGCATGCCCAAACTCACATGCCGTGGTTTCCTAACGTAACCAGATTCCAGCCAATCCTATTTGCCGCTTTTTTTACAAGCCAAAACTGTCCTGCAACAACACACGTGTTGGAATATACATATATTTGACACATGAGGAATACGTTGAAGGAGCTGCAACAGGGAACCTTAAATCTTTATTTTTTTTACAGAGGCATCCGGTTACAGTACTGTTTGAGCTGAATATTGCTTCCATCTGGATGTGTGCTTCGTGCAAGCCCCCATTTTCCTTTAGTCCAAATTATGTAACAAGCCTCTTTCTCCTGAACTTCTCTCTCAGTCACTAATTCTTTCAATCAAGTGTCTTCTCTGCAGAGTTATGTTTGTTCCTGATGTCACTCGTAACATGTCTGTTCTGCATATTTTCAAAAATAAAACAGACTAAGAAATTAGAAATGTCAAGTTGTTAAGCCACAGGAGAAAGGAAAAAGCACATTATTTTCCAGCTAAAGAACACTGCAGGCAGATGCTAAACATTTGTGACCTTTAGGAATTCGAATAACGTATTTCAGTGCGCCAGCCACCAAATGAGACATTTAGGGGGAAAACATGGAAAGAATTGTAAACTTTCTCCTGAATGTTATTCGGCTCCCCCTGCAGTCACACGGCCCTCCCTCGCCACAGCTAATTTTATTGCTTCGGGTTTTCTTCTTGTTTTCTCGAGTCCCTCAGCGGATTACTGCTCACAGCCGGAGTGGCCAGATTTTATGTTCTTCAAATAAATACCTCTGCAGTGTCCTCTCTCTCACTGGTTTATCTCCTCTGACTGTCTTCCTTTGATGGGCAGAGTGATGAAACCAGTTTACATATACAGATATTGTGTTTGACCATGAACTACACTATGTATGCGTTTAAAAGTTTAAAAGACATGTTGGGTTGGATAGATAAAGATATTCACTATACTTCAGTTTTCATACAGAGGCCTTTATATGTCTGAAATTTGTGTGTGTTATGGATTTAAAGGCACAGTTTGTAGGATTTGTTGTTTTCAGCGACATCTAGTGGTTGAGTGGTTGAATCATCCTCCCTGGTCCTCCCCCCACCCCCACCCCCCACTTCCAAACGCAAAGGAGTTGCTACGGTGTCTCTCAGGTGTCAAAAACCTTTGATAATTCCAACCACGATGTCTACCAGCAGCTTCAGGGCTAGTGATGTTTCAAGTGGTAAGATTATGAGCTTTAATAAGTAAAATTATCCCAGCTACAATGACAGACAACAAACATTACATTTATAGTATTACAACTAAAACTGTTTTTGACACCGCCACCACAGTTTGTCCTTCATGAGCCTTCGTAGACAAGATGGAGGTGCCTGTAGTGGCGACCCGCGACCCTGGAGATATAAACAGCTTTATATAAGGTAAAAATAATAAAACAAGGTCTTTGTCTGCTGTGATTAGACATGTTTTTTATTATTGTCATTAGTGATTATCACAATTTCGGCTAAAAGACTTGACAAAATCCTACACACTGTGCTTTTAATAACAGAAAAGAAACAGGAAAATGTGTTTAATTACACAAGTAGCAGATTTTATCTTATTTACCTCGATATGGATGTGATTTGACCAGAACTGAATCTAATAATGCAACAGTTTAAAACTGAAATAAGCTTATAAAGCCAGTGTAATCACTGTTAATTACAAGTACACTTCGCTGCAGCATGCAGAACGGGGCGGTGACGGACCTTTCCGTCAGTCCCATACCTTATATGGAAATGGGACTATTGCATTCCGAAAATGAAGGGGGCGCTAGTGACACTATTTTCTATCGAACACTTTCAACATTAAAAATACAAATTTTACAGTAAGGAAATGGCTACACAACGTGTTATGTCACGTGGTATGTCCCTTTTTCATTTTCAAATCTTTATTAAATCTTTGTTGTTTTTGGATATTAATATTATATTACAGTAACAAACTAACCTTAGGCATTGAACCTGTGAGGTTAACCTTAGGCATTAAACCTGTGAGGTTACCCTGAGGGTCTGTGTTTGGGGAGGTGGATAAAAGAAATTCATCAATAATGCTCTGAGTACTTCAACGTGAGTAGAAGAAACTCTCTAACTTCTTCTTTTCTTCTTCCTTTGCTCTCTTAATCCCGCGTCTTTAAGGAGCAACCTTCATTTTCGGAATGCAATAGTCCCATTTCCATATAAGGTATGGGACTGACGGAAAGGTCCGTCCCCGCCCCATTCTGCATGCTGCAGCGAAGTGTACCTCGTTAATTACTGAATTGGCTAGCAGACATTAGCTTCTGTAGCATAAATTGTTATACAGTCTCGCAATCTTCTGAATCCACTAGAATTTAGCATAAATTATTAAATAATACAAAGCCGCCTTTGCCTCTAATTTATTTTATGTATTTATATTTACACAGTGTAAAATAATTACATTTTCAAATAATTACATATTCAACATTTTTTTAGGTTTCTATAGGACAAACATGACCTGTTGAGAAGATGGTTAGCAAAGGATGCACCGATATGAAAATTTCAGCCGACATCGATATCCGATATAATTATTGCTGTTATGACTGATAACATTACACAAACACACAAATGATGTTATAAAACTATGTAACAGTTGTTTACACTTCAACTAAAAATATTTGACAGAAGTCGTCATTTCATTCCTCGGCTTTAGCAGGTCTGACGCTGCTAAAAATGACAGATTTTTTTCTCCTTCTGGATCTCTGAGAGCAGGAGTTCAATCTCTGAACTTGTAAAGTT